GGGGTATTGTACACTAGTGCTTTCATATAATCCCAGAAGAAGTAATCAGGACATGTTAAGTCCAGTGATCTTGCAGACCAATGAGGTTTACTACGGACAGTATCCTGAAAGAACATATAAGCAGTCTTGTGGCTGAACAACAATATGTACTGCATGAAGATGGTGTTTCCGACTCAACATTGCTATATGATTCTGATTTATTTTTGTTCAACTTATCTCTCCCAGAAGTTTATACATAGCTGAATCACCCTGTATAATTTTTTATTGCCTTCTGATATGATCTTCAGCCATTACTTATCTATTCAAAAAGTATTTATATTTTAATTAATAAATTAAACAGCTTTCCATAAACTAATTCTGAAAACTTCATTAAATTACAAATTAGACTCCCAGACCTTTACTTCAGACTGATTTATTTTGACTCTGTTTTATTTTTTAACCTCTTTTGATCTATATTAAACTTTTGTCATTTGTTAACCTCTCAACCTATTTATTTTGGAGAATGGACCCTATTGACTTATCTGCAATCTCCCCACTCGATTTATAGCTCTCCTAGCCATCCAGTGACAAAGTGAGAGGTCTTCACCAGACTGTCTCCGAAAGAAGGGCTTTAAATTGTTACTTTCTGAGCCCTCGGCCTCTCACATATGCATATTCTGATAATTTTCTGATTTTGTTTCTATGTAATATAGTAGTAATAATAATTTTAAAGCATTTCTGAAAATTGACAAAAATGTACAATTAACTATAGTCATAGCATATTTATAAAATGCCTATTTATGTATGAAGATGATAATAACTAAAACTGAAATATTGATTACAGTAAGCAAAGTTTTTTTTTTATAAATGTAACATCTAAACTTTGGAATATATTAATTCTGATAACAATGTCTGTGAATACAATGAACAAGGAAAGGTCCTAGCCAATCTCCCATAAACTTAATGCTATTTTATTATAAATATAATGACCTTATAAGAGGTCAGAATATCTTTAGAGTACTCTTTCAAACACTAAAGTAAAAACAGACTGCTGTTGTGTGTAAATATTCCTTACCATGTTAAAAATGTTATTTTTTTAATTAAATTACATTTATTATATATATAAAAGATAACAATACAACTTAAAAATTTCTAATGTCTTTATGTTGTATACACAAGATATTCCATATCAAATCATTCAGAATTATATATGTCATAGTTACAAAATCTGATTTTTACCTATTAGTTTAATAGGTAAAAATTAGAGGTAGGTAAACTAGTGTTTATACAGAGATTTTTTACATATGTGATAAACTGATAGCTAGGTTAGGTTTATAGATACATTTATTATAGTACAATCTGTTTACAATTTAAAATATATTAACATATTTTTTAATTTTGTACACAAAGTTAAAAATATTTATCACAGTGTGCCACAAGCAAAAAAAAGTTGGAGAACTACTGTACTAGAGTCGTCCAAAATAATTATAAAGTATTTAATTATGATTAAATGACATTTTTATATTTATTTAATGAATAAAAATAAAATTTGATATGATTCATACTTACATCTATACTAATATTATAAAGAGGTAATGTTTGTAAGTATGTATGTATGTATGTATGTATGTATGTATGTAAGTTTGTTTGCAGCAGGTAATCTCCGAAACTACTCATCCGATTTCAAAAATTCTTTCACCAATATTTAGAATGGAACCTCAGGGTGGACATAGGCTGTATATTATTCCATTAAACATTCATATAAATTAAAATATATAATCTAGGTTAAGGCTTTTATGTCCAACAGATGGCGCTATGAGTACGACGCCCTAAGTTTGCTTTTCTGTGAAAATGAACTAAAGCAGATAGTCATCTATCTATTTATATAAATAAAAATGTAATGTTCGTTTGTTCCTACCGATTCCTTTGAAATTTTGACACAACGCTGCATTCGAATATGCACGTGTTTTTATATAATATATGTGTCAAAATTCCCCCTACTGAAGGGAGATGGCTAGGATTAAGGCTTACAATAAAGAACTCTGCTTCTATTTATACTATTTTAGATGCGGTTTTTTGCGTTTTAATAGGGTACGTCAAGAGAATGTACACTAAGAAGAAATTTTTTGAAAAATTCCCCCCCATGGGGAAGTGTTATAAATAGATACATTTTGAGCCACAACAACGCGTGGTGGAGTCTGCTAGTTTAATATATTTTTATAAGCATTACCATTTTATAGAAGATTAAGAATACAGTTGTACTTAAATAACAATAGGTATAAATCAGTAGTTTTATAATATACATTTACTTATTTATGAAAAGTTAGAGATGTGCAAAGTGTTTTGAAAAGTATTGGTTTTAATTTAATGTAAAATTAAATTTTACTTTAAACTTTTTATTATATTCATTATTATAGTAAAACTGATTAGATAAAGGGTACGTTTGTAAAGTCAAACGAGTTAAATACATTAGTAACAAATCGTTTGAAAAGTAGTAATCTTGCTCAGTGTGCATGCTCTGCGGTGATGACATTTCAAACAAAACTCTAATGACGCTCATGAAGGAAAGAGTTAGTTTACTTCGTTAAGAAAATGGCCCGATGGTATCGATGTTTCTAAATCTACTCAAGTGTTTAAATTGTGAATTAAAATCCATTTAAAGGATCTAATCTGCACTTGAACCATGGTCCCTCAGTGTTAGGGACCATGGTTCAAGTCCTGAATTGTGAGAATATCCAAACACTAACCTTTCCATCATCATTCCTATATTTCTGTAAAAGGATTTCACTTGTAAAAGGATTTTACTGTAAAAGGATTTTGATTCTCATTAAAATAAAAGTCCTCCAACTTCAGCAATAGCATACAAGAAAGTATGTTGAGAGATGTGTATTTGATCAGTCAAGATATTACAGTTCTTATTGAATGAATAACTTCAGAAAAGTGTATAGTTTTTTTTGTACCATAAGCTTAATTCCAACAATAAGACAGAAGTTTAATAGCATTAATATGTATATGACAAATGGTGATTGACAACGTAGTCAGATTAAACTTCTCTAACAGATAAAGAGTATTTGACTTTTTATAACTTTCCCTATTCATATTCTAAGCCAGTCTTTATTTGATGCCTATGGTCAAAATTCATCGTCTGAAAGAGTATTTGAATTGATTCTTTGTTTTTACTTTAAAATATTTCATTTGTAATTAATTCTTTCAGAATATTGAAGGTGAGACATTGCATTTTCATACGGTTGGTTTTATGGATGATGGCATCTATTATTTAGATGTAAATAATATAACAGATGTCCTATTTGAAGGGTCTGGAGATTGTAAAAATGTCCGTTAAGTACATGTGTCCACTATTTGTGAGTGTCCATTAATGGAGGTTTTACTGTATATGATTTTAAAAATATTTCCAATTTNTAAAGAACTCTGCTTCTATTTATACTATTTTAGATGCGGTTTTTTGCGTTTTAATAGGGTACGTCAAGAGAATGTACACTAAGAAGAAATTTTTTGAAAAATTCCCCCCCATGGGGAAGTGTTATAAATAGATACATTTTGAGCCACAACAACGCGTGGTGGAGTCTGCTAGTTTAATATATTTTTATAAGCATTACCATTTTATAGAAGATTAAGAATACAGTTGTACTTAAATAACAATAGGTATAAATCAGTAGTTTTATAATATACATTTACTTATTTATGAAAAGTTAGAGATGCGCAAAATGTTTTGAAAAGTATTGTTTTTAATTTAATATAAAATTTTAGAGGATCTAATCTGGACTTGAACCATGGTTCCTTAGTGCTAGGCCTGAATTGTGAGAATATCCAAACACTAACCTTTCCATCATCATTCTTATATTTCTGTAAAGGGATTTCACTTTTCAGAGTTGTTAGCATGATGATCCATTGATGATGATGATATAAACACTCCCCACACACACACACAGTATAATCCTGTTATATGCAGACTCTCTACATGCACCTTTCAAATTTATGCTATTGGCAATTTGAAAAACAATATTTAAATAAAAATTCTTAATTGTTTGCTAAATTCTTGTCATTTTTGTAAGATTTCATCATCTTACAGCATCTTGCTCATTTACACTCATTCTTATTCTGGGAAAGTGGTTACTGTGACTCATTTCTTTGTTTTGCATTAAACACTTGAATCTGTCTTTGAATCAGAACAAAGATGGATGCAAGTTCCTGTGATTCTCATTAAAATAAAAATCCTTCAACTTCAGCAGTAGCATACAAGAAAGTATGTTGAGAGATGTGTATTTGATCAGTCAAGATATTACAGTTCTTATCAAATGAATAACTTCAGAAAAGTTTATAGTTTTTTTCGTACCATAAGCTTAATTCTAACAATAAGACAGAAGTTTAATAGCATTAATATGTATATGATAAATGGTGATTGACAACGTAACCAGATTAAACTTCTCTAACAGATAAAGAGTATTTGACTTTTTATAACTTTCCCTATTCCTATTCTAAGCCAGTCTTTATTTGATGCCTATGGTCAAAATTCATCGTCTGAAAGAGTATTTGAATTGATTCTTTGTTTTTCACTTTAAAATATTTCATTTTTAATTAATTCTTTCAGAATATTGAAGGTGAGACATTGCATTTTCATACAGTTGGTTTTATGGATGACGGCATCCATTATTTAGATGTAAATAATATAACAGATGTCCTGTTTGAAATGTCTGGAGATTGTAAAAATGTCCGTTAAGTAGAGGTGTCCACTATTTGTGTGTCCATTAATGGAGGTTTTACTGTATATAATTTTAAAAATGTTTCCAATTTTTTATTTTGCAAAAAAGCATTTAATTAAATCAGAAGTGTTTATTTTTAGAGCTCTGTTTTTTCTCATCAAATAAATTTGGACTGCATTAACTATATTACGTGACTATGTAGCATACTGAATTATTCAGTTGCATATTAAATTTTTGTGATATTTAAATTGTTAATGTAAAAATTAAAAAATTTGATTATAACAAAATGTTTTTAATTAGGAAGAATTATTTCTATTGAATCTCAAGAAATGAAACTGTCGTCGTGGTCAGTATTTGATCCGGATCGTTCAAACTGGTCAGTGAATGGAGAACATGCAAAAAAATTTTTGTTTGTTATAAGAATATTTTTTGAACTTGGTGTACCAGAAGGAGAACAAATTGGTAAGTGTAAATTTTTTATTTGAATTATAAATTTTCTACAGAGTGAGTCGGGAGAAGAATGGTATGAGCATTGTAAACAAAAGAACTGCATAAACATGGGTGTTATTCTTAGTAGTTTCAGAGATTTAGTTATTTGAAAATCGCTCAAATATATACAATAATAATGAATTATATATTTATTACATTCTCAATGAATAGTCAAAAATTGAACTGTGAATGTTGACATACTTCACAACTTGTGTCTGAAGGTAACATCATTTCTGAGTTATTCAATGATGATCATGTGTCCACTGACAAAGTGTGAGTTGCATCTGATCATTTCTCAGAAACAAATGTTGGATATCCTGCTACTGATAGGTATGTAATTCAAAGCAACAAAATGTTTGATTGGCTCTTGTCTTTGGAACATTGAGGCACATACTCATTCATTATTGTTATATGTATGTGAGCAACTTTCAAACATCTGTAACTTTTAGTTGCCTGTTCAAGGTTAACCTGCAAATTATACTCTCATTGTGTATCACTGTTGTTACAGTATATTGATTAGTTAATAATAATCATTAATTTTTAACAGTTTTAACTTATAAAAGAATAATAATCATAATAATAATTTTAATAGGTATAGCAGATTTCGTTCCTCGAACAATATATGAAGGAGGATTACTTTCCAAACCAGAATATGAACCTTTTTCCAATGTTGTTAAAATGGCATCTCAGTGGTGTGCAGCACAAAGATGTATCAGATATTGCAATGCCCAATCATTGGAATTAAAGATGAAATATGGTAAGTTATAGTAAAATATAATTTCTTTACATATTTTAGTATTAAAGCTAATAAAATTTTAGTCCTTTCAACTGTCAAAATATGATAAACTACTATTAGAAAAATCAAAAACCAACAGAAATGCAAAAAACTCGCATTAATGAACATTTTCCTGCATGTTAACCTTTGTAGGGGGTTAGACAAATATGGCACTATCACAATGTAGTGGAGAATAAACATGGGAAATTTTTTAAGAATTTTCCCACGCATTTGTCTTGTTTCTGATTTGGAAATATTTTTTAAACATTTACGTCTAGTAAAGAAAAAATCTTTCTTTATTGTCACATAATTTCTTTTTATGTAAATTTTTTTCATGGTAATTTTTGGCTAAAAGTTTTTGGCAGATATGGACATTGTTCTCCAGTGCCAAGCGATCACCCTTGACAGGTATATCCATCAATCACTGCAGAGTGGTTAAATGGACATCATCAAGCTATTAATTAACATTCCAAATTTGAACTGTACAAGATGGAACACAACAATTTGAAATATGTAAGCTTGTTCATTGGTGGACTGGATGCCTTCTTAACCTTATAGACCATGTTAATCAGTATTTAGTAGTTGCTATTTGTCAGAATATGGGATTTGCTAGAACCTTCTCATTTAAGTACAGTACAGTCGACCCCCCTATAACGCACTTTCCTATAACGACAATTCCTATAACGTAGCGAAAAAATTGTAGCAACATTCGTATAAAGTACCTCCTATAACGTCGTTTCGCAACAAAATTGAAAGAATCTGGACCAATAGTGGATGAGCAGCCGAACTACTTTCCTTTGTCCTGCGCCACGCTACGGAGCGGCTAAATTGAGTTTGNAGTACCTAATTTATATATAATTAATATATAATTATATGTACAGTACCTAATTTATATATAATTTAAATAATACTGTCCAGACGATAAAAATCTCTCCGTAGTTGGCGCTACGGACGGCGGGAAAGTAGTTTGGCTGCCCGATGACATTTGAGGTGTTTATAGGGAACTTTTACTATTTTTTATGGATAACGGTAGCAATTTTTTCGTAGTTTTATAGGAATTGTAATTATAGGGACCTTAATTATAGGGGGGGTCGACTGTATGACACTATCACAACGTATGGAGAATAAATGTGGGAAATTTTTTAAGAATTTTCCCATGCGTTTGTCTCGTTTCCAATTCAAAAAAATTTTTTAAACATTTACGTCTAGTAAAGAAAAAATCTTTCTTTATTGTCACATAATTCCTTTTTATGTGAATTTTTTTTCACGGTAATTTTTGGCTAAAATTTTTTGGCGGATATAGACATTGTTCTCCAGTACCACGTGATCACCCTTGACGGGTATATCCATCAATCACTGCAGAGTGGTTAAATGGACATCTTCAAACTATTAACATTCCAAATTTGAACTGTACAAGATGGAACACACCAATTTGAAATATATAAGCTTGTTCATTGGTGGACTGGATGCCTTCTTAACCTTATAGACCATGTTAACCAGTATTTAGTAGTTGCTATTTGTCAGAATATGGGATTTGCTAGAACCTTCTCATTAAGTACAGTATATACTATCTTAAAAAGCATTGTTAAATTATATAACAATAAATTACAATTCGATACCTTTTGGCCGGCATTGCCATACTCAATCTCTTCGTAGACTGTATATCGTAAAAATTACAATATACAGTCTACATATACTTGTGAGTAGTGTAATAAATTACTCTTGACTGAAATTTAATTTAAGAATTCAAAAATAGAAGATTGCCATCAAAAATTGATCTTCATAGTGTACATCATAGGAAAATGAGATCACACAGCAGAGTTGACCTTCTTTTATAGATTCTTCACTGTTTAAATATTGCTGTAAGCATTAATATGTGCCATACTTAAAATTGTAGTAAAATGGCTCTGTACACAAGCTTCGTCAATAGAACAAAATATTAATTTGTTTTACCTCTATGTCCTTACTGTTTTACATTTCTGTGTATAATATACACAGAAATGTAAAACTACATGGACCTTGTTTATTGATAGGACTTATTATACTACTGTAGTTTCTGATTAGAAAATAGAGATCTTAGCCAAAAGTCAAAATAAAGATATTTTGTTTTGACTTTTGAGTAAGATCCTGTGCCTTTTGTTGAAAATTTTTGAAATTTTGCAGGATAGTTTGTGTGTTAGGACATTTGATGCTATTAAATTTTGGTGGTTAAAAATTGAAAAGGTGGGGAAATAGAAGGAATCATGTGTTGTATCTCTATTGGAGTTAGACTTAATGAAGATTTTTCTTGTTATTAGCATTTACAATGTTTTATAATACTCATATCTATCCTCAAAATTAAGCTCTTTACCATTTTAAAATAATTAATAATATAAAAGTTTTTTTTAATAAAGTCTCTTAACAGATGGCATCACACACAACTTTTAAATCTTGCTGGGAAAGTTATGTGACTCATTGCTGGATATTTACTTTTGATGACGTTTTAAACAAAACTCTGATGACGCTCACGAAGGAAAGAGTTAGTTTACTTCGTTAAGAAAATGGCCTGATGATATCAATGTTTCTAAATCTACTCGAGTGTTTAAACTGTGAATTAAAAGGTGAAATGATTGAAATAACTGTCCACTCGAAGCAATCTAAGAAAAATATTTTGGATAAGGCTGTTCTAGCAACATTCATATCTTCAATTTTTGAAACATCCATTTAGCAATAAACGAATCGTTCAAAAAGTCTAATGAAATAAGAATAATGATGTTATTTTCATTTAACTCATTCTACTTTACAAATGTACCCANTCTATCCTCAAAATTAAGCTCTTTACCATTTAAAAATAATTAATAATATAAAAGCTTTTTTAATAAAATCTCGTAACAGATGGCATCACACACAATTTTTAAATCTTGCTGAGAAAGTTATGCAACTCATTGCTGGATATTTAGTTTTAGTTTAATGCATATTTACAGTTAGTTAAACAAATCAAAAAAATGTATTGTTATTGTTTTTATAATGAATTGAAATTAACAACATATACATGCAATGAAATGATACTGAAAAGTAAATGAATGTACATTAAAAGTGACACATTATTTTATTTGGTCAATTTTACTGTACATTCATTTACTTTTTATTATATTCATTATTATAGTAAAACTGACTAGATAAAGGGTGTTTGTAAAGTCAAACGAGGTTAAATGCATTAGTAACAAATCGTTTTAGTAGTAGTAATCTTGCTCAGTGTGCATGCTCTGTGGTGATGACATTTCAAACAAAACTCTAATGATGCTCACGAAGGAAAGAGTTAGTTTACTTTGTTAAGAAAATGGCCCGATGATATCGATGTTTCTAAATCTACTCAAAAGTGTTTAAATTGTGAACTAAAAGGTAAAATGATTGAAATAATTGTTCACCCGAAGCAATATAAGAAAAATATTTTGGATAAGGCTTTACTAGCAGCATTCATATCTTCAATTTTAGAAACATCCATTTAGTTATAAACGAATCGTTCAAAAAGTCTAACGAAATAAAAATAACGATGACGTCATTCTCATTTAACTCGTTCGACTTTACGAATGTACCCAAAGTAATGTGTCAACTTTAATCTCATCACATAAGTTATTTTTTCATATTTTAATCTCTAACAAATGGAAAGGAAGAAAAAGTATGTAATTTTATTTTAAAAGTATGTAATATAATTTTATGTGGATAACCCACAGCTGTTTGAAGGCTGATGTCAATAATGCAATGATATGGATTTCCATGATTCTAACTCACAATTACTCATTCAACCTCATTTGACATCTTTATTTTTTCATAAACTTATTATCAAGAGCATTTTTTAAAAATGTGAAAATTTTTTTGCCACTTTCATTTGCCAAGATAATTTTTCTTGAAACTACAAAAGTGCATAGTTAGCTGTTATGTCTATGGGTATTTGCAAAAGAAAACAAAAATTTTTTATATATCAACTCAGTTTTAAAATTTAGAATGTTTATTTTTATGGGAAACAGGAATAACATTTACAATTGATTGCTATTGAAAGGACTTTCAAGAATTCCAAGATGACAAAATAGACTGTCATTGTTTTTCTGTACATCAATCCAAACTTTAATAATAATAAATATTCTTAAGCTTGATCTAGACAAAGTGTAAAGCAGCTAACATTGTGTTGTGTGTAATCCCACACTATCAGTTGAAAATAATATAAATAATGAAATTCTTCTTGGACAATTCAAAAGTGACTGTAAAAGCTTATGAGCATGTACTTATAACAGTGAGAAGTCTCTTAAAAACAAATTATTAAGAAGATTGATCTTAGAGATATTTTAACTTTATTCAATCTACTATATATATATATATAAGATAATATTTAATAACAATGAAACACATCATCATTCTAAAGATTTTCATTATCTTTAACATAATTTACTTAATTGTTCAAGGAATATTTGTAAGCATCCCTCATAAACCTTTTTTAATAATAGTTTTGATGTTAACAATTCCAGATATAAACTTATCAGTTGATAAGTTTATATCTGAAATTGTTCACACAGTTCTTTGATCATGTACCCACTGTATTTCGTACAATGATGTGTGTATTTTAAAATGCACACATCTTGTATTTTTATGGAAGTTGTGTGAATCCAAGTTTTCTGATTATCTGTGACTTAGTTGAACATGTATTGACATTTGATGCTACATGGAAGTGGGATTGTTTAAGCTAAGTGTTCAAACAAATTTTAGTCACAAGTACAATAAATATTGGCTTGTTATGCTTTGCCTAAATCAGGCTTTACTTGAACTTGTACTTTGAAAGCCATTAAGATCTGGTAATTCTTCCTCTACATAATCTCAGAAAATTATTTTGAAACTGATTATTGATTTTAACATATACTAATTATTTACACCAAATAAAAGCCACAGTTCCACTTGCAGAAAAGTATTACTGAAACATAAGAATTTTGTTACCCTAATATAGTTCCAGAAAATCAAAATTTAAAATGGTTATTTTGTGTTGTTGTATTTAAAAATGAAAATTGATAGCCAATAGAAGGTGAGAATGAATGCGACATTGATAGATTAATATGGCATGTACAACAAAACCACGTAAATTGTAGATTGCTTACAACAGCTTTCTTACATTGAAGATGTTTGTTTTTAGACTTTATTATTATTGTTATTTTGCTGTTGAAAAAATAGATAAAAGGAAAAAATTGAGTCAGATATTATAAAGCTATAATTTATAAATTTATTACCATTCATCTTATAATTCCTGAATTAGAACATAAGATGTAAAATTTCCTAGGAAATTTAAAAATCTTATGTTTTTAATATTATCTAGACGTTCTAGCTTACAGCGCATAGTATTCATGTCATGTTTTCACTTTAGAGATGAGTTATATGATGGTGTTCTAGCAATCTTTGGCAAGGTGTACATCAATATGCATTATCTGCGTAAATATTTCTTGTATGCATATCTCCTTATCTGTACTTAAGTTTGTATAAAGTAAAGATCTGGATAGATGGTTAGAATATTTTAATTTTTATATATAGATACATGAATGCAATTGAGTTTTTTGAATGTGATTTTTAAACTTGTTTAAAACTGTTGTAGATGGTGTTATAGATACACAACGAATGAGTTATACAGAACATGGAGATAGAAATACCTACTATGTGAGAATATTACGAGTGACCTATACAAAATGTTCTGAGATAAATGCACTTCCACCTCCTCTTCATTTAAATTGCAAAACTATTATTCCTTATCAAGTAGCTCATGCTGCATTTTCTGAAGAATATGAAGATTTGAGAATGGTAAAAGAAAGATTGAAGAGATGGGTCGAATTAACAGGTAATATTTGTATACCTTTTTGTAATGTGTCTAAACTTGAAAGTTTTAATAACCAATTAAAGTTTTTATTTAGGGGCTCGTGTATTGAGTGCAGAAACTGCCGCAATGAGATTAAGAACAGGCGGAGAAGCCAGGCATGGAATTGAAACCACTTTTACATATAATCGTTCCGAGTTCAACGAACATTGGATTTATGTTTTTAGATTATATTTGGATGGTTACTATGCAGATCCACCAGCACATTTGATGCCACAGCCACCAACACCAGTTTACGATGATTGTTGTGTTATTTTGTAAATTAGCTACTTTAAAGTAAGTTAGGAAAAATTAATTTTGTACAAAAGACCTGAGTATATGCAATATTTATATTAAGTTGAAGTTGTTCTGAAAGCTCTGTTTCAGTAGATTAAGAAAGTACAGTAGAGCATCAATTATCCGAATCAGTTGGGGACTGGGGTTGTTCGGAAAATTGATTTTTCGGATAACCGATTATGTAGGGAAAAAATATATTAACCTATCTCATGTTGAAATTTGTTCAAATCCTGGCACATCCTTAAGTACATTCTCATGGTCGTGCCAGTGCTACCAGCTAAAACACGCACACCAAAAAAAATAATATTGGAGTAGCCCAAGACATAGCCAAAGATTGCAGCACTAGCAGAAATTTAAATTTGCTGACTGAAAAGCGTTCGGTTAATTCACGTTTTGGTTGATCGACATTCAGATAATCAATGCTCTACTGTATTAAACTTTTAATTTTTCATAATTTTTTTTGTATGTTTGTTACACATAAAATGGAGGAATGCAATAGACTTAATATACTATTACTATTTTTATAAAGATATACCATATTTACTCGGATATAAGACAATCTTGCATATAGGACAAGGGGTGACTTTAAAGATCAAAATAAAGAAAATTAGATTTATTAATATCTGGTGTGGTAGCTGATGAATACGTAGATTTAGTATATATCTCTTTAATCCAAATTAGTAAAAATGGTAGACTTTCTCTCAGCTATTAGGTTAGGTACTCCTTTATTGCAAATCACAAATGCATTTCGGGCTTATATTAGACCCTCTTCAGTGTAAATGCTACACATATAAAGCATAAAAAGTAAAAAATTAATTAATTTACAAATTTTTCACACGCAGATGATTTTTACAGACAATAAATAAATCCTTTTTACATACCTCAGAAGACAGAGTAACGCTTTTCTAATTGTACGACTCTCACAATGATATTTTATATAATCCAAAAAAACACAATTGTACCTAATAGTGTCATTTAATACACATCCGTGTGTTTTGTTTGGATTATATAAAATATCATTGTGAGAGTCATACAATTAGAAAAGCATTACTCTGTCTTCTGAGGTATATAAAAAGGATTTATTTATTGTGAAAAATTTGTAAATTAATTATTTTTTACTTTTTATGCTCTATATGTGTAGCATTTACACTGAAGAGGGGCTCATACAGGCCCGAAATGCATTTGTGATTTGCAATAAAGGCGTACCTAACCTTATAGCTGAGAGAAAGTCTACCATTTTTACTAATTCAGATTAAAGAGACATATAATAAATCTAGATTTATTAATACAATTATAATTTTATATCGTTTAATCACAAATAAAATATCAAATTCACATAAATGCACACATTGATCTGCAAAAATTACTGGCATTTTAAACTTCAAGTAAAAATCTTGTAAAATCGGCAACATAATTTGTTCATGTATAGCTGGATAATTAGTGGGAACCTTTTTTGCCAATTCTTAACAGTCAAATTCACTCTTCGTCGATTACATTTATGAGTTTCTCTGAATAATCATCTGTTTTCATGTGGGAATGGATTAAAACTTATATTGGGCTCCCATGTGATTCTGGATTTCAATTTGGAATTCAATTCAAAAGGTTTGCTATTCCTATTGCAATTCATCTTTACTCTTGACAATACACAAGAATGATTCAAACAACCCAGATAAAATACTTTTGTTTTTATACACAAGAGGGTAAGCTTCCTATAAAAAATGCAAATACAAGGTTCACAAAAATTATTGAAAAAACGAAATGAATTCTTCGCTTGTGTGTATAGGACAATGTAGGTTATTGAAGCAGTGAAAAATGAATAAAAACCTTGTCTTATATACGAGTAAATACAGTATTTCATATTAAGCATATATGGAAGTAAAACAATTTTTAAATATACTGGTGTATTTTGAAATTTGTGATATAAAGTTATTTGACTTTAGGAAGTCAGCATATGTTTTCATAGCAATGTTGTCTAACCAGATCAAATTATGCTATTTCTTGACTCAATATTATGATAGTGAGGTGTAGGTGCTTGCAAGCATTTCTAAAATCAACATTTTTGTTACGTCAGACCTTGTTGATCAAGCCAGTTTGAAATGTTCTTTCTGATCCGTGTAGTCTTAGACATCTTGTTTGGATCTCGTGTTTTAACATGTGGTAATCGATGTGATTTTGCGCATACTTTTTGTTTCACATGGATTGATCTGCAAGATCAGATCAGTCTTTGTTACTTTGTGCAGATCACTTCTGTCATGTATTTTAATTGGTGGAAAGTATACAAGTAAGATCAAATTGTATTTACTCTGAATGAAATTGCTCACAAAACAGCAAAATGGGATAGTGCACACCACACATTTTTGCCATACAATTTCTCAAAATTGTCTCTTAATATTTTTTTTCGTCTCAGTTTATCAAATATTTTAATAATGACATTTTTTACTTACCATTTATAAGTTTTAAATGATTTTCATTTCGACAGTTAAACATATTTCTTTGCTCTCCACTATAAACTTGACTTTAACCATGTAGGCCATCATCTTTAATTTTTTTTTCCCAATCCAAGTAACCTTACCCTCTGCTTGAATTAGTTTAATCACTATCCAGTTGATCCTAGATAACATTTGTATTTGTGGATAGGGATTGATCAGATTGATATAGTTCATTGTATACAGGATTTGAATGATCAGAGTAATCTTGGATCAGTTTGATTACAAAAGTATATGCACCTATAATAATTCAAACTTTCTCATTGTAAATAATATACAGATGATGCAGAAACTTCTATGAAAGCGATGCACAGAGAAACTTGGTAATAGTAAATTCATTTCATCATTTTTAAAATCACAAACTACTTTAGATTTTAAATAGTAGTTGACTTGATAAAAATTTAAGACAGCCATAGACACATGTTTTAACAATGTCTTTAATATTTATATAAACATTATAAATTTGAAATGTAAAATTTTATATTGCAAATATTTAACTCTTTACTGAAAGTTCTGATTTTAATAATTTAAAAATTAAATTATATATACATTTATAAGATTTTTATATTGTAATTTTTCTAATGGTTTCATTGCTAATGTGCCTTTTCTTAATCCTAAAAATTTTGAATATACAGTAAATAAAACCTATTTAAAATGGATCCTGAGTAAAAAGGAAAGCTGCCTAAATGGAAAAAATTCTTTGGAATGGAACAATTTTGTGTTTAAAAAACCCTGTTCAAAACAGGAAGTTGCCAAACTGAAAAAATATTTAGGATCATGGAATTCCTCTTTACACAGTACTGTATATGTAGTTTATTTCGAAAAGAATGAAATATCTGTTTATTGAGCTTGTTTTCAAGACAATTATCTTTATATATATAATAATAATAATATATATATAAGTATCATTTTAAAAGTAAATGATACTTATATATAATGATGTATGATGATTTGGAATAAATTCACTCTGTAGATGTAATTTATATTTATGTAATTTTGCTTGACAGAATTTAACAAAAATAATTTTTAAAAAGTGATACATTGGAATAAAATGTGCAAATTTATTTAATAATAAAGTAAAATCAACCTGTAATTAAGAAGTAATTTGACATGCACATTATTTTGAGTAAATCATTGTGCATGCCAAATTGTTTATTTTGCACTGGGCACTGAGACAATGGACCCAAAATTTATACCAATAAGCAAGTCTGTGATGTGCCAAAACTTCTTGCAAAGTGTGTTAATATGGTAGAACCATTACTGTTTTACTATGTCTTTTCAATGTTATCCAGAACATATCTACCGATGATTAAAAATAAAAAAATGCTGTTTTTCAAAGATAATTTAATTGTAGAGAATCCAGCTTGCATTCATGGATTCCCTCCTACTGGTTCATTGTACCATATTGAAATAGTCAAATATCTAAGCAAAAACTAAACTTCAATCACACTTGATTGTGTATGGTAGAAGCTCAATCCTATGCATTTAATGAGATCCTTCTTATCCTTCCTTGCCCACTTTCGAACTCTACCACTTCTCCTCTCTTCACTAATCCTACCCTCCTCCCACCTCTACTCTGACTCTCATCCCTCTCTCCTTTTTCCTGCATTTTTTATATTTTGTTTATTACTTTCACAACTGCTTGTAAAGAGGGTGGGCGTAGGCTGACAAGACCACAGTCGAGGGGGAAAGAGTAGATCCAATATCACTACACTAAAGATTGTTTTTATGCTGTCACCTTTACAATTTTCTTTTTGAATAAAATAAGGTTGTTTACAATATTAACCATTTGTTTTTTTATTTTACTCTTTCTTCCTTGTGAGCACTAAGGCCTTTAATTAATTGTATCCATTATGAGTTGGCCAGGTACATGTACATAATGGAAGGAGGAGGCAAGCAGATGGTGAGGAATGGGGGCCAATATATTCAGGCCAGATCACCCTAGAAAATTCTTGGGATATTTTGATAACCTGAATGCCTACCACTCTGGAGATTTGGAATTGAAGTCTTCAGTATTAATCATTTAAAATGTCTAGTCTGTTTCTCTTTTGTAATATATAACTGTAAATATTTTTATTATCAATAATATCTTATGTAAATATTTTTCGTAAAAGAAATTTCATTTAAAGTATGGAAAATGTGCCTTAGTTTCATATCTGGTAAAATCAAAACAAATATTACTGTTTCTTTTTAAGTTATAACTTTTACTAAAATATTTCAGATGTAATTGCAGTAGTCTCTCTGTTGTCTGTCGCATGCCACTCTGATAAGTTTGGTATTCTGACATGTTGCAAGATGATGCACATAATGTTCACGTTACCAATTGTTGATGAGTGACGGAGAGAGACTGACATATTGTACATTTATACTTGTCAGTCACTAGTAATTGCACGTGTGGTCGGCAAAACAGTCTCAGTTGGGGTTAATACAGTAAACTAACCCATGAACCAAGTGATTTTTACTGTACAGTAAATACACACAAACTCCAGAAATTTGACACACCAGTCTGATGTGTGTCAGATTACAGAGACTCATACAGCATTTAAAGTAACTTTAATAAAGTAAATTGCTACTACATATTTTATTTTAAACATAATTATTGTAATGTACTTTTTGAATATTTTTGTTAAATAAATTGTGTATAAAAGAATTTAATGTCTGCATTAAATATATTTCTTTGGTTCAAGTTTATATCAAATGTAGTTATACAGATTCTAAAATTTGCATAATTTTTGCCATTGTTAAAATGTGTATTGCAAGAAGAATTCATTTTGTATGTAATGATTCATCTTTTCTTTTCTTCCCTATTCTAATGGTTGAGAATCAATTCTTTAAGTATTGTTTAAGCAAGTATTTTGAAGAAATTTGATTTAAAAACTAAAATTAATATGAGAAACCAGAATTGTAATGTTTAAGTTTTGACTGATTATAAATTTATAAATCATAATTGTTAAGTACTGTATGTCTTATTATACACTATATAAGTACTGTACATTACATATTACATATACAACACTACATTTACTCTAATAATAAATTGTTTGTAAAATAAATATTGATTTCATTAAAATTTATTAGATATATCTAGAGGATTTGATCCCGGGATCTCGAAAATCGGGATCCCGACCACTTTTCAGTCTCAAAATTTTCGGGATTAAGTTTTCATAATCCCGAGATTTTCGGGATTGACATCATTTTAAAAAAAGTTGCA